AAATTCACCAAGGTTTGAAGTTTCCAACTGGTTGTAAAGATATTGCTGTATTTTATTCTTTTTCCTCTCCCAATTTGATTAATTTAGAAATTAAAAATGTGCATAAATGCTATTTGTCTTAAATCTTTAAATGTATGATAATGAAATGAATGAAATACTACTGTTTAAAATATTAATCTTCCTATAAAATTATGTAATGGCAAATTAAACTCTCTGAAGATCCTATTATATTTTACATGCTGACAAAAGTTTAATTTTTAGTATATATTACTTGTAAAGTCCTCAAGAGGATAAAATAAATTGTATAATTCCACTGCATTTCTCATTGTTTATCTGTATAGATAATCTTCAAATCTAGAATATACAAAAGAGCACATTTGTGCCTCCCCCTACAGAAGCTCATATTTATATTTTGTGTATTTTATTCTTATTTTTGATACCTTAATGAACAAGTTTCCAGTTGAATAAAATCTGTACCTATTATCCTACTTTAGAATAATCTGAATGGAAATACCAAGTGTTACTCTCAACTACTTGCACAAAAAGAATTGGAAAATACATTAAATTCTATTGTAGGTAATGGGACGTTGACAAAAATAAATACTCCACAAGGGTATTTTAAAAACTTTCCAAAAACTTTTGGAGAATCAGGACTTTAACAAGAGTAAGAAAGGTTTCAAATTTGGAAAATTCAGAACTTTTATATGATAAAGTCTCCTGCCTCAAATTTTGCACAGAATCCTATATATGACCACAGAACATGTAACACAAAACTGATAAAGAAAAAATTATACATTTTTATGCTACAAGATGTAGCATAATATTTTGGAATAAATCCTATTTGTTTTTCTTAAAAAAAAAAAAAAAAGCTTCCAGTGATGAGAGACCTAAGGATTTAAGCCATACAACAAAATAGTCAGTGGGAATCTTCTCATTGTTTATAGTCAAATTTAAATTGGATACTAAATTAAGGGGAAAAAGAAAAGGAATTAGTGTCTACATCTGTACAAATTTATGTGTGTGTGTGCGTGCACATGTGTCTGTGTGTATGTGAGTTTGTGGGTGAGTGATGGATGGGGAATGTGTGTATATATATGAATCCATAACCATACATATATAAACACACAATTATTGAGTATTAGAGGGTTAGCAAGCAGTACAAGTGAAAAGAATTCTGCCTTACAGGCAGGTATAGTTCATTATTATTGGGGTTTTGCTTTATTATACTATTACATACACTATCAGAAATATTGCTGACAAACTTAATAAGCAAGAAAGGAACATTTTTCTTACTCTGATCAAAGATGCAATAATCAAATCAAAAAACACAAAACCAATAGCCAATCAATGTGAATAAATCTGCCCATTGGCTTAATTCAAGCAAGCCATTCACTGAGCTATGTGATGAATCTGTCAAATTCAATACAGCATTACAGACATACTAGCAACATCAAGTGAACATGCAATGACAAAATGACAATACACCCCACTGCCATGCTTTGACTTGTTCTACCTCATAAATACAAAAGCTGATGACTTTGCTAGTTCCTCTTTCTTCAGACACTGACAGAAATCTAACAAGTCTACTTTTATTTATAGTTTTGAAAATCTTACACAAAAGCTGAATAAAAGTTGCACTACCATCTTGTTGACATCCAATTTAGTATTTGTACACCATTATAATTACTTTCACAAGCATTCTCACTTTAAAGTGTTGGGAAGCAATGCTCCTGAATGATGAAGGACATCTGCAGACGAAGAGGCCCTTTTTTATCAGTTGGAAAAATTTCAGAAACTCTTTAAATATTAGAAAGTTAATAATTATTTTTTGATCCACTTCATCACAGATCTTCATCTCTTTAAGTGCAATTCAGTATGATGAGAGATCAAAGCACAAAAATCCAATTTAAAATTTTTAAAGCTGTATTTTGTGATTATATTGCTTCACCAATAAAACAAGCTGCACTTTTTTATTATAAGTTTGGTTATTATTTTCTTTTACAATCCTAAGAAGTGGAGAAATCTGTATGTCCTACCTCAACGGTGAATTTGTTTTTAGAATACGTATACTTTGGTGCCTTTCTTACTAAACTTATTTGGCTTGGCTTTGATTTATTTCATGAGATTTCCTTTGCCAGCAGACTCACCCTTATTAATCTGTTCTTCCCCTTTTTCCAGCAATACTTCCAACCATGACAAACAAGGATACCATTGCATTTCTTAAAAATCAAGCTCTGTTACAGTGATCACTGTACATTGATTCACTGTAGTCAGTGTCTCCATTTTTGAATCCCGAATATTTCTGTTAACCTTCATTTTTAATTTATCAAAATGTCTCCAATTCAAAGACTTCTCCTTTCCAACTCCTGATTTAAGAAGCATGTTAAATATGGGACACTGCCATTCTCCATGTATATAACATGCAGTCAAAATGTTTTGTTGTTGTTGTTGTTTTTTTTTCTTTTAATATAAAGAAGTATTTTCATGATATATCACTGCTTTAATACTCATTGGTTGCCACTTGATTTTCCTGGGCATTCTTTAAATGTAAACATTAAGTATGTTCTATTTGAAATTAAATAATTAGGAGCTTAAAGTAGCACTAAAAAGGATCAGTGTATAGATATGGTGTCTTCAGTATTGTCAGATGACAGTGAGTTACTATTACACTGAGAAGAAGAAAAATAAGCAGTACTGAACTGTATTTCTTAATTTTAGCAATTGCTGTATAAACGACTGAATTCATTAAAAATGAATAAAAAGGTAGTAAAATTAACCAAACTGATTGTGAGTAATCAGGGGTATCCATGTTTGTATATAGTTTCACATATGCAGGTTGTTATGTTTGATTCTCTTTGGTTGTTTTAGGATTCTCCCATAAAGAAGTTCAATTACAGTATTTGTAATTAACACAAGAAACCACATTCATTTGGGGAAAGCAGGTCAAAGATGATGGGTAACCTCATTTAAAAAGAGAAGTTAAATTAAAAAAAAGATCAATAATTCATTTAAGATATTTAAAATTATGCAACAGTCAGGTTATTACAATTCTAATTATACACAAAATATATCTGAAAATTAGCGTATTTTGAAAAAAAAGGAATTAACTGACACCATCACAAGCTTTCTTTACAACATTTAGGGACACTATCTTTTCCTTAAACAATTTTATTTTCAGCAGAACTCCTACTGAGGTTGACTTTCTACCCATAGCAGAACATGCGACAATCTGGTTTTTTACCTTACAGCATTTGGTTTATGAGAAGGTACCTGATTCGCAATTAAGGCATTTAAAAGTCATTTTGATGTTGCTCTGTTTCACTATATAACATACATATTTTTCATAAATTCATTTTTCTGTTGAAATAATCAACCTATAAGATGATTCAGGGAAATTTGGATGATATCTAGCAAAAAATGACTAACCATGGGGGGTTATTTTTAATGTTGTTCTTCCAACTTAGTAAGTTTTTATGATTAGGAATTCTTTTGCATTATAAGCTCAGAGAAAAATTCTAGAGCTGCAATATGCTAACTCACCTTTGTGGAAATGAAATGAAACTACTGAATAGCACTTCACCCTGTATGTTACCCTAAGTAGAAATAGTAGACTGCAAACAAAGTGCAAACAGCAGTACCTAGTCAATATTACTGATTCAAAAATAATAGAAAGTAACTTGCTTACCTGTCTGACACAGCATGCCTCAGCCACACATGCAAATTATTTTATTCACATAACTTTAAAAAATATGTCTTCATTATCCAGAATAAGCGTTTTAAAGGCAAATATGCATGCATAGCATTGTAACATTCATACCATGGTATTTTATTCTAAAAATACAGAATCCATGAACAGCACTTCAATCTAAGAAACAGTTCACTGAAATTTCTTAATCTGTTGATTTCTTTAAGAAACAGAAACACTTAAAAGCAATGTTTAATTTAGCATCAGAAGTAATTTTTCAATTCAAGACTTAAGAAATCATCTGCATGATTACAAGGGAAAATTTTCATAAATGAGGAACTGAGAACAATGACCTTACGTTCCACTGTTGTTGTGAAGCAAAATATATGCATGTATTTGTCTTTCACAACATGCATCTTGCCTTCATGATTGTACACTCTTCAAAGACATGAAAACAGTTGTAAAGATTCTGTCTAGGGTACAATTTCTGAAGAACCAGTGGAATATTCCTTCTTTTCAGTACTAAGTAATGTCCAGACACACTGCAAAGACTGATGCATGTTTAATTTTATGCAATCTGACAAAATCCTGTTCTATTGGAAATTTGCAATTTAGACACCAACATGAAATGGGCCTTGATTTTCATCTTGTGAGAAGATGAGTTAATTTATACAACATCACTTTTGCTTTATGGATATTACGCCTCTGTATGTTTTTCTTACGCATGTTTTAATGATCTGTTAGTTCGGGTATTCCTCTCATCAACGTGGATTACATTTTGAAGACAAAAGCATACTGGAGAAGAAGCATAACTATTTTTTTTCCCACTATTTCAAAAAATCACATGCTTGGAAAGAAAGCAAATGGAAAAAATATTTTTTTTTTTTTTTTGCTTGGGGTAGTTCAGGCTTAGATGCAGTTCATTCCCAATTTCCACTAACTGAAATAACATCAATAAGAACTGAGGGCACAGCTTCTAAATCAAATGAAATAATACTCCTAAGACAAATTATGATCTTTAGTAGCAGATCGTCATGAAGCTATACGTATATTTATCTAAATTGTACAAGGGTCACAGACATTAACTGGATGATGTCCAGCTTGGGAATGTGCACATCTCATGCCTAATTCTCAATTAAGGCCTAAAACCTCTCAATTTATGGCTATTCATGGATTATAATAAAACAGCCTGTTTTAGATATCACAATTATCTGCAGAGCAACAAGACAGTTATGAGACTTCAACAAGGCAAATTTATAGAATCATCTTTGACTTCCACTGGTCAGATATTTATTAGCAATAAATGAGATCTTACCTGTCACTGTAGGCAGCTGCAGTGGCAGTGGCAGGCTGGGCATACCGGTAGGCAGCATAACCACCCTGAAACACAAACTCAAATTCTAACTGGATTGCTATTGTAGCTTAAATGATATTTTGCAAAATCTAGCAACAACGGATTGGAATATTACTGTCATGCTGTAAGTTCAGTTAAAGGGTTAAATACATTTAGCCTATTTGAGTGAATTTGTTAAGCAAAATTTATCATCACCACAAACATGTTAACATTTGTTCCAGAGATGTGAAGAAAGCAATGAACTGTATTCAACAGCACAGTTTTTTAAAACACAACATTGTATTCTTCCACAAGTTTTCAAGTAGCAATTGTTCTTATGACTGCAGTATGTGCGTATTAACAAAGCCGTGTTGAACCCAAACGAAAAACCATACCAATAATTTTTTTTTTTTTTTTTTTTGGAATCTGTGTGTGTATAAAATATGATCTATCATACCTGGTTGATTAAATCTATGAATTAGTGCACTCAATTAACACTCAATGTTATACAGGTTTCCAATTTATACTTCTAATTATAATGAAGAAGGAAAATTCTCTTCTTCCCTGAATTAACATTCAGTTGTATGTAACAGTAATTGCAGCTGTTCAATTAAGCAAACAGGACAAACAAACACACATTTGAAAGGAATTGTGTGCAGTGATGCATTGATTATCAAACTGTGAAAACAGCAGAGCTTCCTGTTCAATGGACCACAGTGTTATATCAACCATTTCAAAATGATCTCAGCATGCCAATTAACAAACAGAGGCCAGTCTTCACAGATAACACAAACATGATTTACGTTCCAATTAGAATTCACCACCCCATAATCCTCTGGGACATGGGACTCAGCATTTCCTCTCCCACCTTTCCCCCCACCTTAACAAAGAGTTGAGAAAGAAAGCATTAGGTCACTCAGCTTTGAAGAAAATTTCTTCCTTTCCTAAGGGTGAGCCCTTTCAATGGACGGATTTTATTTTCGAAGACTGCACTCATATAAGATAATGTGCTGATCTGTAAAGCACGTAAGACTAGTAGAACAGGCTACTCTGTCAACCCTTACCATAACAGTAGTAGAATTTCACTGGGGATACTTCCATGAGTTTTCTATTTTGGTTTTGCAAATGAAAATCATTAGAAATTTCAGCCTTTGAATTATCAACACAACAGAGGAACATTCTTTCTGTCTTTTTCAAGTGCTCACATAAGAAATAGCACATTTACCTCCTCACTACTGGTCAGCTCCTTGTCAGAAGCAATCATGTCACACAACCATTAGAAAAAGACAGGTGCTTTCATAATACTAAATATGCTGTGCCTTTTGTAGAAACTGCTTCACTGTGCAAGCAAAGAAGCACTGAGAAGAAATACTTTCTCATTTTAGATCATTTGATTTTTATAAACCAATAAGAGGCTATTGCTGTCAAAAAATGTATAATAGGCACATATTGCTTGCAGGTACGTGCATGCAGGCAATCAGATGTCAAGCAATGTCACTGAGTGCAAACTGAACCAGCAAACAGTGAGGATGAGCACTTGGCCTGGGCTGTTCTACAAGGAGAAATGTGAGAGATTACACAAATTCACTTCTTCTCTCCTCCAGTTCTTTTCAGAGCTAAAATGAGTGTTGTTTTTAGTGGTGGGGGTTTTGCCATGGCTTTTTTCTCTTTGTTTGTTTGTTTGGAGTGAGGGCTTATGTAAAGGAGTTCAAATGGGAAAAAAATAAGATATTAAACCTGATAAGCTTGTTTTCATTGTCCTCTGAAAATGTGTTGTAGGCTACAAGTTGTTTTATGTTTCCGTTAGACACATGCACAACTCCTTTGATTGTCCTAGTAAGTGCATTCCTAAAAACCTCCATTTATATGCAAGAGGTCTCTTCATTTCAATCCAACTGCTCACATATTGATTTCCCACCCTGGTACAGTATTGAAAATGGGTCACCACCAGAAGTATTAATGTTTCAGTGTTCTTAATCAGACTAAAATGAGGCAGGCTGTTCATGCATCAGCTGGTCTTAAACCTACGGATGGCAGGCTCTGTAAGAATTTTATTTCTTTCCTTTGAGTACCACTCAAAATTGGTCAGTTTGCGAAGACTGATCATTTCTTGTTCAAAATCTGCTTTCCCTACACATGAATTACATTCCTTCAGTGCCTGCATTTTGATTTGCTTTCATCAAAGTATTGCTGCTGAACAATGAAGGTCAACCCTGAATTTTATTAAGCTGCCATGGATTGAACAATCACAATTAAATTTGTGAATGTTCTGGAAAAAAAGGAGTCTAAAGCAATAAAAAGATACCTACGTTATAAAATTTGTCTGTTTTCTTTTTTTTTTTTTGAGTTATAAATTGCAGGATAGATTTGAATATCAATGAGATCGTAGTTCTCTACAAGTCTATGTCACAATTTCTTATTTGTAACATAAGCTATTAATGATCTGCTATTAAGGGGGTGTAATGTTCCATTTGCAAGTCTGCAGATGACAAATACTGGGAGGAATGGCTGATAGGCCAGAAGGTCGTGCTGGTTCTCAGAGGCATCTGAGCAAGTTAGTATAAATGAGTTAGCAGGAGCCTCATGAAGGTCAGCAAGTGGAAGTGCAGAGTTCCACCCAGAGAAAAACCACCCCACACCAGGACATGGCTGGGGGCACCCAGCTAGAAAGCTGCTTTGTAGCAAAGGTCCTGGGGGTCCAGGCAGACATCAATTTCACCATGAACAATGTGTCCTTGCTGCTTAAGGTCAATGGTAACCTGAGCTGGATTAGAAGGAACACTGCTAAGAGATCAAGGGAGATAATGCTTTCTAGAACTGGTGATGCCTCACCAGTCCTCTCCAGTACAAAAGTGACATGTAAACACTGGACAGAGTCCAAACAAGGGGCACAAAGATGATAAAGGGGCTGAGGAACTTCTATGAGAAAGAAGCTTAGAGACCTGGGGCTGTTTAGCCTGGAGAAGAGAAGGCTCAGGGAGATCTTACTAACATGGATAAACCACTAAAGGAGAGTGCACGCAGGACAGAACCAGCAATGCCTCATACCAACACAAGAGACAATGAGCACAGAATCTAACAAAGGAGGTTCAATCTGAACACCGGGAAGCATTTTTTCAGTGAGTGACTGAGCAGTGGAATAATATCGACCTCTGGCCGTCTCTTCCAACCTCAAACTTTTATCCTCAAATACAAAATTAAATGTAAAAACATTGTTAGGGAAATAATTTTACAGCTATTCTGAAGCTTTGGTTTGGTACAATTACTATTTTACTTCAATTACATCAGATCATAGAATTATAGAAGCATAAAATCAGAGAATAGCTTGAATTGGAGGGGGCTTTGAAGGCCATCCAGTTCCAACCCCTGCTGTATGCTGGTTTCCAACTACCAGATCAGGCTGCCCAGGGCCCCATCCAGACTGGTCTTGAACACCTCCAGGGAAGAGGTATCCACAGTTTCTCAGGGCAGGCTGTGCCAGCATCTCATCGCTCTCTGAATAAAAGATTTCCTCATAATATCTAATGTAATTCTGCTCGCTTTCATTTTAAAACCATTCCCCCAGTCAGATCCTACATTTTAGAATTATTTTGGTTTTACTTTCCCTCAGCAAGTAAATAAAGTATCTGACTTATGAATTCTTAGTTAGTAAACTGAATTTATATTCAGCTAAAACTATTAAAAATGTCTACTGCCTTATCTACACTCCTGTATTTTCTACTTCCAAAGGAATGATACCACAATGCTAGTACAGCTTAAGTTGCCTGAAAAAGTTAAGTACATATTGAAGTCAAAATACTTGTAGTCCAAATATACACATGTATGTCACTGGCATAATGTAATGAATGGAACACTTATAATGAATGTTGTGCTAAATAGGACGTGAATATATACAATACAACTGGAAATTAAAGGCAGTTGGTAGATTATTCCTGCCATTTCTACACACAGAATCCATATTCTCACTGAATAACTTGAGGATTAGTATGATTTCACAATAGCCTATATTTAGCCTACTGCGTATTTTTCATCAGTCAGCACGTCATACCTGTAGTAACTTATTGCCATACACAGGCTCTTGCAATAATGCTCTATAAAGAAACAGAAATGCAATGATTGCAATGAGTAAAGGAAGGATGGGCGTAGGGATGGAAAAAAAGATGCAAGCATGGAATTTGGAGAAGTTCCCAAAACTACTTATTAAATAGTTTCCTTTCAGCACATCTTCACATCTCCACGGCTCAAACAAATTGAAATAATTGTGGGATCGGTGCAAGATCACTAGTCAGTTGTTACAGGGAAACCTCATCAGTTTTAGCTGCATTTGCAGAAATTTTGGATAAAATAAAATGAAAATGAATGTAAAATCAAATACATCCAAATCTTTAAATAAAATCTGTATGTGTACTGAGTATAATTTCCACAAAAATAAGTTACACATTCATAATTTACAATAGCATGTATATGTCTGCACTTTCTCCTGAAATAATGAAATTTTTATCTTGATCTCAGATGCACTGACAGTGTTATCTGTAAACACATCTAGATTATATGACTTAAAGTGATGCCTATTTTCCATTATTTTTTTCTATTAATAACAGTTGATATTCTATATGAATGTTGAGAATATTTTTCCTCAGTGTTTACTTCCTATACGTCCTTTCACTCCAAGTTCTTGAGATATTTTGCATACATATTTCTATTTTTAGGCATTTGTGGTAATCCCAGAGCTATCCGTTCCCTCAGATAAATTATTGGTAATGTATACAAATTAACAGCACATAAATGAATTCTAATCCAGTACAGTAGTCAGGAATGAGCCTGCATTTTTTCAAAATAGTGTTTAAATCACAAATAAAGATCAGGGAGATAAAGACATTGCATCATTAGCTCTCAGAACTTTTGAAAAGGGAATCGTGGAGTGTTCTTGCGGACAGAGCATTAGGAGGAGCCACACACCTTGGGACCCTGTTTGCCCATGAAAAAGACATTGCTCCATTCATTTTATTTCTGTGTTACATCTCTTCATTTTAAAAGCACATAAAAAAATCTTTTCTACTTAAAAGAAAAGACCTTGGTACTAACTACATATCTCTGCTTTTCACATCAGAACAGTGTCTTTCAGGATATCAGAGGGCACCCATCCAGCAGGAAGGGAATATTGCTTAGATAATTGATACAGTTTAATGAATGTGCCTGCTTTCTGCTTGGAAAGTAGACAGGTGCTCCATCCTCAATACCATCCTCTGCATTTGAGCTGGAGGAGATGGTGTTAGCTGTTGAAAATATCCTTCCAATCCCTTGCTCAGAAAGTACGCCTTATCTCAATCATTAACTCAGAAAAAATATCTTTCTATGTAGGTATGAATTATCTTGGACCCTTACCAGCTTTAGTATCAGAGGTCCAGAATCCTTAGAAAAAGTTAAAAAATCATACAGTGAGCCATGAGACTGACTAATATACATAATTGAACCACACTACCACATCTGAAACTGGTGATGAGAATTTGAAGTTTGCGCTGTTTCTTAGCCTCTCCACATTTTAGTTGTTTATCAAAGACTGACATGTTCTGAAAACATTCTTCATGTCAACAGTAAGAAAAAGGAATTGCAACAAAGCAATAATGGAGCACTGTCATTTTAACTGTGCATTTCTTCATCTGTTACTATTTTTGTTTCATTTTGTGGAGCGTATTTTCTTATTTTTTCAGGTGTCAATCTTCATCTAGGAACTTCTGTATTTGCTGGCAGGCAACCTTAATTCTTTTTTAATGACTTTTTCTCTTAGTGAATCAATACTTAATTTTAAAAGGTCTTCCTTTCTTCCTAATCATCTCCTTTATTTTCCTACTTAAAGGCACATTTAGAAAGGAATTCAATAGCTCAGCTATTTCAGAGACATTATTACATTTCATATCGCACCGTACGAAATATAGAATATATTGTATTACAAACAGTCGTGGGCCTGGATTTTCATTTTTAGACTGTATTTTCCACCTATTTTTATATTGCCATTCTCTTCTATGCCTCTGGTTAGTATTAAGCAACTCTGGTTATTTTCTGTTCTTGTTTCACCCTGTTGTTTTGACACAGTCAGTTTAATTCCCAGCTTCCCTTGCACAAAGGCTAGCCACCAAAGGCTACCTTGGCACAGTCCATACCACTGTTGTTAATCAGTGTAATCACATCAGAATGAAATCCGCTTTGATATATTTGTTCATGAATATTGTTTATTATAACTTTCAGCAGTGTTCCTTTGATTTTGTTTTCTGTATCGTTTCAATGGCTCCTTTCTCTCCAATTTACTATTACAACCTATAAATTTAAAATTTTATTTATTTCTCTTTTTTTTCCCACAAAGCACTTGTTCTTTCCCAAAGCTTCATCTCAATAATTAAAATCAAAAGCTGAGTAAAATTATATCATAGTCAATTGGGATTTAATAAATAACTTAGTCTGCTGCAAACTGATACACTGAGAACTAATACACTTCATAATAAATTTTCTTTCAGCTTATACTAGTTCGCTCCTCCTTTCACCATCAAAATGTTTTGGATGGAAGAAAGAAAAATGTGAAGAAAAATGAATTATGAACTAAGAAGCCATGAACGTTATAAAATAATAGATTTCCACAAGAATGTTTCAATTATATGAACTTCTGTAATCATTCTGCTGCAGTAAAAGAACTAGGAAATGCACTGAGAGGTACAAAGCTGCAACTGAGTCTAAACTGGTGTAGCAGCATAGCTTTCACATTTTTAATTCACTTGAGTAGTCAAAACAACAAGACTGAAACTACACTGGAAATCAGTAATTTTTCCGGTATCTTCCTCATTGAAATTTCTTTCTGCTTGGAAGAAAAATGTTCAAGACTATGAGAGGATGAAGGATCCCTTAAAATGAAACCATTTTGTCAAGCACCAAAAGAGACACCTTGCTTTGCGGCAACAGTGGTTTCCAAAACCATGAACTGTTACATAAACATTTAACTCCAAACTATACTATCAACATTAAGCAATACTGAGGTGGACTTCTTGATGCCTTTCAGATTTTCACATTGGGAAACTGGGCAAAATGGATGTCACAGTTTGCAGAAATATGAAAACTGGAAATCAGACTTGATAAAAATTTAACACTGTGTATTCTATATAGCTGAAAAATTCAATAGCAATGCATTTAGGTGAGACTTAAGCAGCTTACTAGAGTAAGCTTTTGACAAATAAGTTATTCTCATGTGTCACTAACAATACGTTACAGATAGCATCTCTAAATGCACATAGAATTTTAAACTTAAACTGTTAATTTATTTTAAAAATATTTTTCAACTTCGCAAATTAATCATCAGATGGGTGTCAGCTTTTTATCAAACCAAAAAACCAAAACCTACTTCTTCCATAAGTTCAAATTGTTTTCCTTTCATATAAAATGTATTCAAAAATACTCTGTTCCTTTAGAAATAGCTCTAAAAGATTGCTGGTAATAAAGACAAGGAATGTTTCCTAGCATTACCTAGTGAATTTTTAATGTTCAAACCAATTTCACCTCATCCATCTCTTTGTAACTCAATAGAGACAGAAAAACATAAGCACAATTAGGATATAGCAAGTTGTCTGTTGAAATAAAGATACCTGGACCAGTCTGCTATTGCGAAAATAATAACAGATGTGAAAGATTACCTTATTACTGGTAACGTATTTCATAGCCAAGCATTTTTACAAAACTGTAAACACAGGGTGCAAAAATTATTTTAGAAGCCTGAAATTCAACCTCAGTCTTAAACCTCTTGTATGCTCAGATGTAAGTAGCCTCTCTTTATATATTCAAGGTAAAAAACTTGAATATTAGTAAGAAAAGAAGTTTAAAAATATCCTTTAAAATGAAATTGGTGACCAATGAGCTATACGCATTTCAGTGAGAAGCCGGTAATTACTATCCAAGGCTATCAGTACTAACAAAAATAAGCACTTCATACAACTTGAGCAATCTTTACCTATTTCATTTAAATTGAAATATGTGGATGTTAAAAGAGCAGTCTACAGAAGTCTATTCAAATGACAAAATACAGAGACACATCTTAAACTTACAGTGTAATTAAGCTCTTCCATGACACATCCCAAATGTTGCTGAGATTTGAGAAAATTTACTTGAGTGTATACCTCTCCATACTGCATTTTCATACCTCAACTATCATTAATGCTTAACTAACCTTGTTTGAAAAAGAAAAAAACAAAAACAAAAACAAAAGAACAACAACAACAACAAAACACAAAAAAAATATTTTGGGGGGTTGGCAGAAGAATGTTTCTGCTTTATTTTCAACTTCTCTTAATACTTTAATTTTGAAGGGAAACACTCCTCCACAAACAACCATACACGCACGCACATATTTTTCACATCTTTTTGCATTTATTCAACATTTGATTGAAGAGTTAATTCAGCTCCACTGAACAATGATAGATGTAATGAACAGAAAGGTCTTCCAATGTGAGAGATATTCTTCTCAATTCCTTCTGACAGGCAAGGGATGGTAAATAGACAAAACAGAGTCAAGCTAGGCAGCAAACTTGTAAAAAGAATGACTCTGGTAATGTACAAGGACAGCATGCACATCAATGAATACTTACATAAATGTCTGCACCATAAAATCCATCCTGGTATACAACACTGCAAGGATGCACACACAAAGAAAAACATCCATATTAGTGCATTTCCACATGCAAATGCCACCAACCCCTGCACAGCTGAGGTTAGTCTTGTCACAAGAACAGAGGGAGGGGGGAAGGAAGGCACTCTTCACATTGGTTAAGGAGGTTGGTAGCAATTATCAGAAGTGGAACTGTACTGAATTTTTTTTATTTTTTTTTTAATAAAAGTATGCCAAATGCTTAGTCAAAAAGAGGTGAAACATGAAGCATGGCAGAATTGGAAAATACTTCTGGAAAGCTGTTTTTCCTTTTTTGAAGGAAAAAATCTGAAAAATTGGCAGCATTTTTTCTACAGAAATTTTCACAGGTCCAATTCTGTGACTTGTTTTAATTCATGTAGAAAATGTTATTTTCTGAAATAATACTTTCTTGTCCTGTAATTGTCAGCCCTCTAAAACAAAGTGGTATTCGTCACGACTTAGATGGAGGAAAACACTAAAAATAGGTTATAGGGTGAGGGAAATGCGTGAAATAATTGTACTGATGGAATTCTATACCCACTGCTTCAAATCTCAATAACTAATGCACACAGAGATGAGAGTATTCATAGGTACTGCTTTGATAGACATTTATGATAATGACAACAGGTCTCGTTAAAATGGATTAACTCTATTCTTATGAGAAAAGTATTAGCCTTTCTCACTGTCCTTTTACCACCCTGGCAAACATGCCCACAGTTGTGAGCTACCGTGATGTTGTAGTTGGATACATCACTATTTCTTGTCTGAAAAAATGTAGAATTGTGATGCAATTAAAGACTGCTTCATTTCAGCTTAGAAAAATTCTTATTTTAATTAGCTCAAATTTTAGATTCTAGCTCTCCATTAGAAATGATAGAATATGACAAGGATGGTTTAAATCATTACACAAAATAAAATTGGAAATATGTAACATCAACACTAATTGCACACATTGTAGAAGTCCAGCAATTTTGTTTTGTTTTGCAGATCTACAACTTAAAACTTCTGTATTTCTAATACAGAATCAGTCCAAGCAGTCTCAATAACTAAATATGAGAGCACTCAATAGGTTATTTGCAACCAAATTCTGAGTTTGAAATATTAGTTTCTGGAGTAATAGTTATGAAGTTGCTAGCCTAAGCTGTTCTGCAATTTCTAAAATAATTTTCATGTCAGAAATATAATTGAACAATTGAGGTCAGTGACCAAAAGCCACTGGCATGAACTAGTGACTAAGTCAGATTCACTTGAGAAAAGAAAAAATATGCATACATGTACATAAACTGAATTACACTTCATCAATGATAAATTTACGGTGGCATAATGCATGAAAGCCTGGCTCTACTTATGTCAGAGTGGCTGGCATTCACTTTGGTTAAGTTCAGATATTTACTTATGTATTTTTCCATTTATTTGGTCTGCAGATTAGAATATGTCATATATAGCCTACACAATTTGTTAACAGAAAAAATATTATTTATCTTGCAGTGTACCTACATTTTGGTTTTTATATTCTAACTCTTTTAAAATATTACATGTTTGTGTAAGACCTATTTGTGTGTAAGAAGTACAACATTCCACATGACTGCAAGATAGAATTACACAATCATGAATACACATACAAATCATATACAAACAACGCAAAGGTTAATTCAGGCAGAGGCCATTTTCAGGAATTTCATATAGGAAGTCTGTTTTTCAAATGATATGCATTTGAAAAGAAAAAAAAGGCATATTCATTCCATAGACAAGGACTCCATTTTCTAAATAATCTCTGGACAAGATTACACATTCCTTCATATAAGAGGCCAAACACAGTCTCCACATCCAAAAAGATGCCACATAGATCAGTGCTGTTGTACAGTGTGTGAAATTATTTAAGGCTTAATGTAACAAGTCTAAAATTATATATTTCTGTGTTCAATAAACAAAGCAAGATGTTATTTACAATAACACAGCATGAGAGCTAAACAAAATTAAGATAAAGCTCTGTTTTTGTTTTTGTTTTTTTGTTTGTTTTTTTTTTTTTTTAAATAATGTGGTTTAAAAATAAACAACAATCAAACAGTAGTGGTTACGCTCAGAACTTTTTGCAAGAGGTTACTGAAAAAATGAATCAAAAAATATATCATCTTAAAAGAGCATCCAGGTCATGCAGTGTTCCAGAGAAAAATCATTCTTTCTTACTGAAGTTCTGATGTTTCCCAAGATGACCACTGAAACACTGATAATAAATCAGTGCTCAGCAGGAAGACTCAAGTCCTATTTTATTTCTAACAATAAAATAAAATAAAATAAAATTAAAATAAAATAAAATAAAATAAAATAAAATTAAAATAAAATAAAATAAAATAGAAACAAACTGTTTTCCTACTTACTAATTCTGGAGATCAGCCTCTAGAATTGACAGAGGCAGTCCAAAATAACTGCTTCAGAACCAAATGCCAGAAATAATTATCTCCATTATCATTAAATTCTGCAAGTACAACTGCAGAAATGCTGAACAAATGCAAAGTTCTGCTGCAACTCTTGAGAGACCCCAGAGGAGCAGCACATGCCAGATCAGGTCAGTAAGTTCTAAGGGAAGCTGCAGCTCATGGAGAGCTCACACTGAAGCAGCAGGAAATCCCCTCAGTGGAGAGGAAATCTTACAAACTGGTTGCAATCCCCCATTTCCCAGCCGCCTACACCCCTCCACTTGAGTAGGAGACAGAGGAGCATGGAATGAAGGAGTTTAATTGAGACTACAAAAAGCGAGATACAGACAATTAAGTGTTATAATTTTTGTCTTTGGTTCTCACCACCAACCCTATTTTATTTAGTAATCAATTAAATTAGTTTCCTGAAGTCCAGTCTGCATTGACCATGAAGGTAATTAGCAAGTGATCTCCCTGTCCTTATCTCAATCCATGAGCTCCATCTCATTTTCTCCCTGCATTATGCTGAGGAGTGGGAGTGAGAGAGCAGCTGGATCTGGCCATCAGCCAAGATCAACCCCCCACAGAATATTAAGACATACTATTTTCCATTATTACTGAACATTATTATTCAGAAAATAACAAATTTGAGAGAATGTGTGTTAAAAACAGGACGTATTTTCTTTCTCCTCTTGGTGACTTGTGAATTTGTAGTGGAGATGTCAAAAGATGAATATAGACTGAAACACTTTGAATTCCCAAATGCAGCTGGATGTAATCCTGAGTAGGTTAGTTCATTTGTCTAGGTCTTACTTTTACATATAATGCTCAATCATGTACAGACAGAAACTTATTTTGAATTCCAGCTCAGTAGCTGCTTAACAAATGTTACACTGGAGGAAGTACTCAGCGCTAAATGAAACACAAATGCATGACTACCATTAAATATGGCTAGTATTAACACGAAGAGACAGAAACAGGCAAATGAGTATAACATTTGTAGGCAGGATATGAACTATGAAAAGAAATCAGCTAATTTTATCTGATTTCCTTCTTACACTTTTGTAGTATATGTTGAATATGAGACCTGCTACTTCTTACGATTTTTTTTCTCTTAACTTTCTTCACATTGTTGTATATTTTCAGACTATCTCTTCCATTCACTGTCACTCGTTGACTCCTGTGACTGAATTTTATCATGGGAGTCAAATAATGTTTTCTAACAGAAAGACTAAGTATAAAGCATCAAGAACTACACTGCATTTTTCTTTCCTCCAGTATATGATTTTCCAAAGGGTAATTTGCTTGACTCATCATCCCCTTTTCTCTCTCTGAAGTTGAGCACAGCGAACAAGTAAGTCTCAAATCTGGGAAGAGAATGAATGCACCACAGAAGGACCCATCTTGCCACAGCTCCTTTTACAATTTATATTCAAGAAGTTGTCCTGGAAGCCACATAAATCTTGAGTTCCTTGTCAACTAATAGAGGGTCTGGAAATAGCCATGTTATTGAAATCTGAATTACTTCACTCGGGACCATATGATATATTAATGCATTACCTGGAAGCATTTAAAATAACAAATTTGGGGAAGTTATTCCCAAATTTTTTATTTATTATTTACTTAATTTTAAAGTGACACATGTCCAACCCATAGCCCACAGGCTGCATGTGGCCCAGCACAGCCTCTGCTCTGTTCTGCCCCCTGCCTTGTGCCATCATGGCGGCACCTCCTGCCTGCTGAGTGGCCTGGCCCAGCCCTGGACACCCAATAATCGCTTGGCAACTGCCAAAACATCAACAGGCCTAAGACAGTTCCTCCTCACTCAATGCATCCCAGGTGAGCCAAAAGACTGGACAACCATGTTTTAAAGCATGTAAGATATCTTTGGATTTATAAGAAAACGGTGGCTCTAAATACACCTGTATTCACCAGTTTTCTGTAGATTTAGTAAAGTGTGTTGTATTTGCTGTTTCTCAGTAACTGTGAGAAAAGAGCTTTCCATAAGAATACATAGTAATTTGTACTGCCTAAATAATGACGAGATCTGTATTTCCTGACAGATCAGGACACACTGCCATTTCATAACCTTGCTGATACAGAGTCTAAGAAAAAATCAGACAGTATCAAACAGGACATGTAAACAAGAATAAATACAGCTTAAGGGAAACAGAAAAGAAAGTAGGTTTTTGTTACAGAGCAGGGAATCTTGAGACCGTGCAGCTGAGATAAACACTAGTATCAAGCTTGTAAGACCGGTAAGAAAATACATGTTCCTAGCCTTGCCATTGATTTCCTATTTGAAAATGATTCTTTACAGTTCTAAAACTTTTGAATATAAGCAAATCAGTGTGCAAAAGATTATTTCAAATCACTTATTATATTTCATTTCATGTAAGCTGTCAAAGATTAAAGAAATGAAAGAAAATGAAAAAAACCTTTTCAAATCAGCTTAACATTTTACATTTATAGGTAGGTACTTTTTAAAAAGGAAATTGTATTTTCTAACTGTATGTTGCGGAGCTTTACTCTAAATTAAATGTTGTTATTCAAAAATAAATATTTAGGACACCAATTTTTTTTAATTATTGAAAATATTTTTGCATCAAACTGATTGCTTGGCTGTAAGCAGTGCTACTTTCTTGAGTGGAAAAATGAAAGCTTGCTGCTAAATTAATTGCAAAACAACAGACAAGGAGTTTTCCATTTTTCTTATCAACAAATGATGTTCTTGTTGTTTGCTTCCTTTTGTAACTTAGTTCATTCTCTATGATCTCTTTATTTTCTCTGTAATTGTCCCTGACTCTTACTTCCATTGAAACTGAAAACAACATACTTACAGTTTGTTTTCATTGATCAAGGATTCCTTCTGCCTTTTGGCCTCTTTGATAAGTCAGAATACATAATGAGTGAGCACAGAACAAAGCATTGAGAAGAAATTCCAAATGGGACTGCTGTATCAAGGAAGTTACTAGCAGATGATACACCAGGCCAAAGAAATTATTTCAGAATAAAGCATTATCCATCCAACTGCAGACCAGTGCAACGAAACTACTAGGTTCTGTGCTGATCCACAAATCACAGAAGATGTAAATTTATGTATCAGAAATCAATGGGCTATTTTAAACCACAGGTGGAAGGAAAAATAAACCTGACTCATCTGTGAACTCAAACCTATCTAAATGAAGACAAGATGGCTGTGGTCACCAGTTTCCCTGTGCAGCTGGGCCGGTGCCATCATGCCTATAGTGGACCTGGTAGAGTGGGGAGCTACATGGAGAGCTTTTGGAAGGGCCACGAGGCTGCTATGCTGTGGCTGCTGGTGCCTGAGCACCCTCCAGGCCAGGCTACCCCTCTTACAAAGAAAAGCTAAAGGGGCTGGGATGGTTCAACCTGGAGAATGCTCCAGGGAGACCTCACTGTGGTCTTCTACTGCTTAAGGAGAGCTTATAAACAGGAGAGAGACTTTTTAATACACACAGATAGCAAGAAGAGGGATGGTTTTAAAATAAAATGTGAGACTTAGATGTCAGGAGGAGATTATTTAGTCAGAGGGGGTTGAGGACCTGTCACAGGCTGCCCCAAAAAAATGTTGGTGCCCTGTCCTAGGAGGTGCTCACAACTAGCCTGGATGAGTCCCTGGGCAGCCTGATCTGATGAGTGATATTCCTTCCCACGGCAAGGAATTGGAACTAGATGATCTTTAAGGTGCCTTCCAACCTAATCACTTTTGGTAATTTTATTTGGCTTGTCAATTGAAAAATTTTGCAGTGAGACTGTTTCTAATACATACTGAATTTATTGGCAATGTATTGGATGGCAGAGTAGAATCCTGGATGACTGATGACTTAACTCAGAAAACAGGAGGCCATTGTGCCAACATAATGATCTAACTTCTCTCCTGAGTCAACGCGTGGCTCCTTAAGCCAACTTTAAGGACAGATCATGAAGGCACATGAGATCTGTCCAACCTAACTGTCAAACCATCCTGCAGATTCATGCTGAAGCACCTATTAAGTTTAAATATGATTTCACGATGTTTACATCAAATTTAATCTGTAAAATGCTGGAATTAAGCAGTACCGTTTATGAGGATTCATATTCATTACACTTGGAAATCTGATTCTTCTTGCGGAATCACTATACTAACTCAACTATGAACACATAGGTGTATCCAACACAACACACACAGCCCACCCTTATGTGGCTTCTTAAATTAAAGGCTTATAAATTAAATTGGTAAACAGGTAAAGTCTTAAAAGCACAAAGGAAAACTATAAAACATGTATCTGTGCTTGCAGTACGCAGTACATGTAAATATGTTTATTTTGTACCTGCAGTACCCATTTCATAACTTAGACATCCAGGCATGAAGTCAGTCCTGTAAGGCATTCTAAACTTGTTCCCCTCTTTGCCACATACAAATACCTGGACTACCTCTAAAATAGACAGTCTAGGCAACAATAGGGTGCTTGGGTGGGATGCCATACTTGCCCAAAGGTAACTCAGACAATCTTTTTCAAAAACCATGGTGTCTTCCTCCCTTAAGTTGAATAGTATTACTTAGTCTATAAAAAAAAAAGATGTAGTTCACTTAAAAAAAAAAAAAAAATAATAACCTGGCATTGTGTCATCACTTTCATATTTATTTTTCAAACAGCTTAATTCTCTGAAGGGTACTGCCCAATGTGAATGAATGGTCAGAGAGCATGTCCCAGATATCCTGGAAAAATTTAGCTCAGTGGCTAACTGACTACTTTTGTCTAGAAGAAAAGACATGCCTTCTGGCTTAATCAAATACAGGCTTCATAAGAAACTGCTTCCAACCAGAGATGGATTTAGTCAGCTTAGTTGTAAAAGGCTGGTAGGAGATCTAAACGAACTAATGCAACTGGAAACACACCAGCATATCCTTAATATGGCCGGAATAAGCATTATTGACGTTACCAGATTCCAATACTACAACAGCATATTGATCCTTGTGATATTGATCCTGTGCCTCATTTTGTATTACTTTGGTCTATTACTGTAGTTCTAGACATTGTGTCTCAGTCAACAATATTTCAGGTATCTCCTTAAATCTGGTACATTGTGAGCCACATAATTATTTTACTGTGTTTTGACAATATGGAAAAGATTAAGCCCAAATTAGTCTTGAATACCTTCAATTGGCTTTTCTCAGCAGAATTCAAAGGAAGTCTGGGGTGGGGGGACTAGTGAAGGGCACCTGTCTTCTGCTGTAATTAAGTAGGAGGAGAGGGTCTCAGCATCATATTGTGCTGCAAGGTTCCTTATATGAGGATATCCAATGCCAGAGTAGATGAGCTGTGTGGCATTATTTTGGTGAGAGAGAAATCACTTTCACTCCCCGACTTTCCAAACCTTCCTTTCCCTTTCCCAGAAAGATCCGTTGCTCTACAGAGAAGTACTGACATACCTACTACAAACTGTTATCATAAAATACTATTTTACCCAGGGATCTTCCATGTTTACGGATTTACTAAACTTACTGATTTCTTAACAGCTGAAAATGTTTCAACATTGCTAAGGCTTTTAAAGACCACAGGCATCATACAAAAACATTCTGTCAGCATTTACAGAGCTACCACACTCTGTTCCTCCCTTCTTTCCTTCAGAAATATACCATGCTTTTCCACTTCCGAATAACAGAAAATAAAATTGAGTTTCTAAAAATGATTGCAATGGATTTCTCTCCTTTGTTCTTTTATTGTTGCTTTTAGTAAAGGTAGGTCACTAACAGTGAAATGTTAAGGTGTAATTTAAGCAAATACGTACCAGAAAGCATGTGACCCTTAAGAAGCAGTCCACATTTCTATCTTGACTAAAATATCAACTAGAAAAACTAAAATTATAATTAAAAAAACATTTAAAAACAACAACAAAAAATAAAACAAGCAAACAAACAAACAAACAAAAAAAATCCAAAAAGACACTAAGCATTTAGGTACAGAGACAACTTTCAATGGATGATTTGAAGGAAAAGAAGTTACTTGATCCAACCTCCTTAATAACCAGATGTTTGCAATCATCAAAAACACATCTTTAGCTGAAACAATTTCTCTGTTCAGAGCATTCAGTCTCTAAGAGCATTTACATAACAATATGTGACACCTCTAATGCTTAAGGCCACCAACCATGGCAGTACAAATTACAGTCATTTTTCAATACTCAGTGCAAGGTGCACCACTTCCAATTCTTGGATTGGTTGCATGCTGTGTTGGTTTCTGCAGTGAGACACGACCAGCATGCACCACAGTTACAACCAGTTTGCAGCCTTTGGAAATTCACGGTGTTAGGTAAAAGAGGCTGATCTCCTTACCCGCCGTAGGCTGGAATCGGAGGGGGGGGTGCTGCTGCACGAAACGTGTTGTACACTGTGCGACCTCGGCCTCTTAGGTGGGCACCTCTGTACGCGGCAGCTGCAGTTGCAGCAGGGTAGGGAAATCCTGGCACTGCACAGAAAAGAAGAGAAATACAAAATATTCAGATCAATCTGGTGTTTTAAAACTAGGTAAAAGTAGTGTAGCAGTATTGTTGTGCCTATATTAAAGCACGGTCTTTAACTGGATGAGGTGGATATTGTCAAATAAGTAAATTATTAGTCATTCAACCAGAGGCCTCATTATCTTACATAAGATCTTTGTATTCCCTGCAAGCTGGGAATTTAGATGGCATTAACACAGGTAGCTCTGATGTCCCTGGAAGAGATTCATTAATAAAAACAATGCTGTCTGTTGCAGACAGCACCTCTAAAAAGAGATGTTTGAAGCCAACAATACTCAGCCCAGGCACAAATTTATAGCACCAGAGAAATTTCTGGATCTATCTTCCAAGCAGGTGTGAAACACTGGACCAAGTGACGTCCAACAGTCCCCTTTTGATCTGAATAATTTGATGATTTTACAAATGCAACGGAGCTTCCATTTTCAAAAATTTGATTACTAATAGGTCTGAGTTGTATATCAAGGGGAAAAAAAGAGAGAGCAAGAGCTTTCTCAGAGTTTGGGAGGTATATCATGTTTATGATGGTACATATTATTTCTTCAGAGGCAAAAACTGAATAGTTTGTAAATATGTGAATTCAGAAAATATACAGACCTAATAGAAATAAATTAGATATATAAAGAAGAAACAGACTCAGACAATTTTATATTGTCATTGCAAGTAGCTGTAAACATTAATTACCGTTTCACACAAAACAACATATTTTCATCAGAAATAGAATAGTAATACAGTGGTAAGTTTTATTCGTTTTCTGTAAAATATCTCTAAAACTCCTCTGTTCACAAATATTTTAATTAAAAAAAAAAAATGAAACTTCCTATTTTGTTTTACTTTTTAAAAATGAATACTTAATTATTCTTTTCTTCTTTAGACACATGTTGCTGGCTACTGTTAAAACGTCTTTTTGGAACCAATTCATCAGTGAGACACAGAAAATTAAATCCAGCTCTGATGGCACTCAGGTTACTTTAATTGTGCTTCAACATACTGAATTATTTACAGCATGTAAATAAAGAGATACATTAATATTGCTTTGTAGCACCCTGATAAAAGCAAATGAAGGAAATGATGACTAAAACAGTTTTTCAAGTCCGAAATATGCTTTCATTTCACATTTGTCTTTCATCTGTTAAATTTTTAAAATAGCCTTGAATTTGAAATAAAGACAAAAAAAATCTCAACTTGTAAATGTTATTAGATGAAATGTAAAGGAAAATACTGTAATAATGGTGACTTCAGTATCGCCTTAATGCTATGCCTCATTCGGACTGTCCGGTCCCTCTCACTGAAGAGTATGGCCATGAAATCATGCCTGAAATTGTACATATCTTAAATAACAAGCCTAAAGCATAGTATTCTCTAGCTACCTTTAATAAATGTAGTTTTAGGGAACTGCCAAGAATAAGAGAAATTGATCTGACTTAAATGCCACTAACAAGCAAGAATTGAAGTCTGATCAGCTTTGAGCAGTTTGGATAACTTCTTCACTTACGTGTGCTTCTATAGTTCTTTACATACTGAAAATGCACTTCTACGGAGTAACAGAAGCAGCTGTAAAGAAAAATAAACCAACTCGAGAAATTCTAAACTCAAGCAATCAAATGGGGATTTAACAACCCCGTGGATTTACATGTAATCTGAGAACCTCTACTCTTAAGATCTATTTCAGCAGTCAGTTCTTAGCAGTTAACATATTTAGCTATGTTTCAAGAAGTAAATAGTTCATCTTTCAGAAAAACAAACCAGAACAAAAAAGTCAGGGTCCCAGACAGTTTTGCTTCTGTAAAATGTACTGTTTGAAATCAACTTGTCCATTTCTCTATGGATAGTGGGAGGTGTATAAATAATGGGCCTGTCTCTTCATTTCAGATGAAAAAAGTAACAGTGGCTAATGTTTTTGTATTTCTTCATTACTTTTAATTATACCATTAATATAGCTTTCACACACACACACAAAACAACGCACAAAAACTGCAGTAATTTTGCAAACATTTATGAGAGATGCTAAGACCAGAAGTGGATTTCTACCATTTTCAAGGAATCTGATTTTTTTCTATGCTGTATTAAAATGGAAAGTCTGAATTAGTTCCACAGTTATGCTATGCTCATCTCACATGTATTGACTCCTTAAGAAAATCACAAAACATAACACATCTAGACTAAAGCAAAACTCTAGAAAATCTTACAGAAGCAACAAGTAAAATTTAGAATAATGATCTGCAGTTCTGTCACGAAGAAGATAAGTCATAATGGAAACTAAATCTGAGAAATATGGAACTATGAATGGTGTTGCAAAATCTTACAGAAAGCGATCTCATATGAAGTAAAATTACATCCATCCCCCAGAAATGACTTGGGTCATCCTGATAGAGCTGTGAAAACATGCCTTCTAATTACAGATACATTATTAAAGACTGCAATTATTGCCAGAGGTATAGTAATTGGTAAGATCATGTCAGCCTAGATTTGAGTTCAGTAAAAAAAAAATGATTCTGCTTTATCCCAGCTGAGAAATCAGGTGGTAAGGAGCATGCAATAACCACAGAATTTATTTTGCTACCAACTTTTTAATATCCTCAACCCCAAAATAACCAGAAGTAACACCACTGGAACATAACTGAATAATGGACTTAATAAAAACAATTTTATGAGATGGTCTTTCCCATCAGGAAGCATTAAGAGGCATCAACCAGCCCCCAAAGTAATGAATATACTAGCCAGGAGGGTTAAGAATTTAATGACTTCCAGTTTGTAGGTCAGCCTTCCTTAATGCCTCCGTACCAAACTACTGAAACTCAGTCACTGAAAATGCTAATATAATGGCATAGAAAATGTGTTTGACCATCAGCTAGGAAGCATCAGAGTACCTTTCTAAATAAAAATAGCTTAAATGTATCAAAGTAATTCGATGACTGGAATTCTGATCTGAGATAGGGAAAAGGGAAATTTCTCCAACTGCTCGTTATTGCTAACAATATGAGGTTAAACAAACAAAGAAACAAACAGAAAAAAAGTAAAACAAAACAACAAAAAAACCCAACACAAAACCTACATCTCTAAGGACTTCATACAATCAAATATAAGCCAAAGAGGCAATTCACTTTCTCATCTAATAGTCCCTATCAGTTCTATTGTTGGTTATTATGTTATTCAAATGTGAATGGCACAACTGTAACAACATAAAAGCAATTAATACAATGGAAATACAATTTTTCTTTTTCTAATGAAAAAGAGTAAAAGCACTTGTTTGTTGCCTAGTATGATTATCAAAAAGCATTGAAAGCATTGAAAATTGTCCAAAAAATCATCTGCATGCTTTGTAAACATGGAAACACTGTCTTGGTACTTCCTTCATCAAACTTCAGTTTAGATCTTAAGCGTTTAATTTGGTCAGCACAGTGCAACGTTTCTGAAAGATAAAAGCCTTTTGGGATTAACAGGACTTGCTACAATGTGGGTAAAATTTAGGTAAATAACAATCTCATATAGGAAAGAAATACAGGTATGAGATACAGATCCCTTTCATGCCAATCACAGTTGTGTTCACAAATTAAATTTATTAAAATCTTATTTTCTCCCAAAACATATAAGCTTTGGTTTTGTTCATCTTCTACTAAATAAAAATGACAGATAGATAGTTGACTTTCTAGACACCAGATCTCCACCTAAGCATTGGAAAACAGACTGAGCATTGATAAAGCTTGAGTTCTGAAAAGGAGGAACATAACCTGCTAAAATAATACTTAAGGGTTACACACTGTATATTAAAGTTTTAAAGCTTTGGGATGGATGAAAGTGTAGCAGATGTAAAAAACAATAGGGGGCAGATTTTGTATCAAAGCCATAAAAATATATGGCCATTTTAATGGGCAATTATTCTTTGCATTTGTGCTGTGGTTTGAATTTGTATGAATGTGCCATATGCCTCAAGAAAGGTATGCCATCAAAATGGATGAATGAATCTACCCCTCATCACTCCTAATTTCTCCTGCTCTGCACAAATCATAAGGTCATCTGTTATCAAGAATTTTCCAGTGTTTTATGTCGAAGAGTTTTAATGGTACATCGTGTTGGAAGTGGTTGGTAGCTAATTTACTACAAGGTAGTTTAACTGTTAGAAATGAAGCAACATACATTTATATTATCACCATAGTTTAAAAAGATCCTTGTTGAGGAAACACTTCAGAAGTGCGGGACAATAAATTAAGAACAAAGAAGAGAGTGATCTATATCATATCATCTGAGATTGCTGAGACAGAATCAGGAATTTTTCCTGATGTGTGTTTTATGTCAACTGACTTTTCCACTAGTATTAGTAGCTTTAATTGGCATTTTCTTTAAGAATTATAAAAACTGTTAGAGAGAATACTTGTAGAATTTTGCATTTAAATACACAGTCAAAACTGCCTTGCAAGTAAAAGCTCCATTATCACAGCCTTTAAAATGACAGTTTTAAAAATCATGTATATATATATATATATATATATATATATATATATATATATATATCACATGCATAAATTTCAAAGTTCAAAAAAATCTTTAGAAAGTTCACAATGCTTAGTAACAAACTAAATACCCTCCCCGGGATCCAATTGTGAATTAACTGAATTCAAAAGAAATTTGCCATATACATCAAACAGACATGACCAGTTCCTTCTATTTCTTTCATTCAAAACACAAATCTTATGTTTGTTTTTGAAACCTACTCAGAATTAGTGGAACAATCATTTCCATACCCTCGTACAAAAATACATGTCAGTATTAAACACCGTTGTTTAAGAATGAATAAATCTGCATTTTGGACAAACAATTTCTTATAGGACACTCTCATTTGAAATGCATTGAAAAGGAAAACAAAAATCTCTAATTAATGTACAAGTCTAATCACCATTCTCCACATGGAAGAGTAATTTTTCACTGTTCATTTGCTCAGTGTAATCTCAAA